CTTTTCAATATAGTACTGGGAGTCCTCACCAACATAATTATAAAAGAGGAAAAAAAGAAAGCATTCAAATAGGAAAATAAGAGGTGAAACTTTTTCTATTCACAGATGACATGATTGTATACATAGAAGACCCAATGCTTTCCATGAAAAAATTTGTGGATGTAATATACATGAATAAAGTAAAGTTAGAGGATACAAAATTAATATCTAAGAAATCTATAGCATTTCTATATAAGAACAACAGGCAGACTGAGATAGAACTAAAAATGTTATTCCATTTACTATAGCTACAAAAAGTATAAGATACTTAGGAATAAATCTAACCAAAGAAGTTAAAAACCTCCACAAGAAAAACTAGAAGAAGCTAAAAAAAGAAATTGAAAATGATACAAAAAAGTGGAAGGATATCTCATGTTCCTGGATTGGAAGAATCAATATATTCAAAATGACAATTCTAAACAAATTAATCTACATGTTTAATGCAATACCAATCAAAGTACCAGACACATTCTTCACAGATCTAGAAAAAAACAATCATAAAGTTTGTCTGGAATCATAAAAGACCCCTTATTTCCAAGTAAATTCTGCACAAGAAGAGTGGAGTGGGCAGCATCTCACTCCCTGACCCAAAAATATGCTACAAAACTGTGGTAATCAAAACAGTATGGTACTGGCACAGAAACAGACATGTGGACCAATGGAACAGAAAAGAGTCCCCAGAAATAAATTCCCAAACATACAGTCAACTGGTTTTTGAGAAAGGGTACCAGTCAATCTAGTGGGAAAAAGGAAAACCTCTTCAAGAAATGGTGCTAGTAAAACTGGATTTCCACCTGTAAAAAGATCAACCTGAACCCCTACCTCTCACCTTTGACTAAAATCCAGTGAAGGTGGATCAACTATCTAAATCTAAGACCTCAAAGTATAAAACTGCTCCTGGAGGGACCAGCAGTTAGCATAATGGCTATGTCGTTGGACTCCCATGTAGTCAACCGTGGTTCGAGTCCCGGACCCGGTGGCTTAAACTCACACCGGGCGCATGTGCGTGCATGCCCAAGATCTTGAGAGGAGAATGGAGGAGAAGGGATTGCGGTGTGGCCATCCATCCTGGGGGGTGATTTCTCGCTTTCTATCTCTCTGTCTCTCTCTGTCTGTCTGGCGAGCGCACGCGCCCTATAGCAAAAACCTCTAAAAACAAAAACAAAAACAAAACTGCTCCTGGAAAACATGGGGAAAATGCTGGGAGACATTGGATTAGGGAAATACTTCATAAATAAGACCCTCAATGCACAGTCGATAATCCCCAAAATAGACAAGTGGGATTACATCAGACTAAGAAGTTTCTGCATTGCAAAAGACACAGTAATTAGTGTGAATCAACAGCCCTCAGAAGGGGAAACTATTTTTGTAAACTATGCATCAGACAAGGGACTGATAACCAGAATACACAAGGAACTCAAGCAGCTGTTCAGAAAAAACGATGACCAACCCTATCAAAAGATGGGAGCATGAGCTGAAAAATCACTTTTTAAAGATGACATAGGAATAGCCAAAAGGCTTATGAAAAATTGCTCACCGTCCTTCATTGAGATACCACCTAACCCCAGTCAGAATGACTAAGATTAAAAAAATAATAATAACGAGTGCTGGCAGGGGTGTGATCAAAGGGGAAGTCTCTTACACTGCTGGTACGAATGTAAATTAGTCCAGCCACTATGGAGAACAATTTGGAGATTCCTCAAAAATCTACAACTAGAACTTCCATATAATGTAGCAATCCCACTCTTTGGTATCTACCCAAAGGACAGAAGAATTCTTAACCGGAAAAGTGCTTGTACTGCTGAGTGAAGCAAGGCAGGCTATGGAGAAGAGACATTGTTTGTCCCTACTTAATATATACCAAGTGTCTGCACTCTATGACTGAAACTGGTTGACTAAAGGATATAGAAACACAGTAAAAGGATGTGAATACCAGACAGAGTGTGTGTGAAAGAGTAGAGTCTGAAGAAGGCCATTTAGAAGAAAAATAGTGAGGCAAATCATTAATGAGACAAAGAAATATGATATTATCTGTTGAAGATAATTTTATAGTTTTTTTTTCAATTCTACCCAAAGTCTGTTTATTAGAAATGTTTTCAGTTTACAACTGCTTAGAAAATAAATTTCAGGAAATAGCCTATATATAAATATCAGACACTCAGATTTAAAAAAATGTGTATCTTTGACGTTTTATGTTTCTCATGATAAACTGCCTCATTCATTTAGGGAAGTAAAAACCACAACTATTTTGCAATTCTATATGCTACAAATTTCTCGGCTTTAAATAGAAATAGAAGAACAATTCAAAAAATTAACTGCCCTAAAAATTATTTCATATTTTTTAACTTGAAATCAATATAATTTAATTTGATTCTCATCATTTTTACAGATATGTTCTTAAATATAATCATGTAAACACTATTTCATAAAACTCCAACTGATGCTAGGCATTTACACTGTGACAAATACTAAACAAACATGTAATAAGACCATTTTTACAATTTTCTACTATACTTGGAGGAAAAGAACACAACATGATTGGGCACCAGAAATTCCAAATTGCTCATAGGCATTTTATAAATGGACAGTTATATCTATTTTAAAATTATGAGATTTTTTTGCTATTATTTCCTTTTTGTACTTTAAAATGTTATTTTTTTCGTGAATTTTCATATATACATATCAAATTGGTTAGTTTTCCTTGTGAGTGACTAATCATGGAAACATTAAATCACTTTTAATTTTACATTAAATGTTGACTTGTTAATTTCTTTTCCTCCTGTACTGAATGAAAAGAATTGTCCACTTAATTGCATAATTATTACAATTTATTTCACATAGTTATTCCCACAAAGCCACTCTTCCACCTTTCATTGAAGCATGCATTATATAGTGATGCTTATTGGTCAGATTTAAATCTGTGGCATTTCACTATATATATGTTATTCCTACACCCAAAATAGGGACTATTTACTTTGTTCCTCAACATACAAAATCGGTTTTATTAAGACCTGGAAAGTCTGCTCACAATCTTGAATGTGCAATCTTAGGGTTAACCTTCCTTTGGGGACTAACTCATGAGATAGATCAAATCTGAAAATTCCAGGAGTCCAGTATAGACTATCTTTTGAATAGGTTTCAATGTTTCAAAAACCAGACAGAAAATTATGCACTAGATCAAATGCATCCTGAGCCTTACAATAGTAACCTCAAATATAAGGATAGGATATATATTAAATTGACTTATAGAGACGGGGTACACCATCATATTGGGCCTTATTCTTAATCTCCTCAATTTCTTCCCTGCCAACAAATATAATGATTCTCACCAACTGCTGAATCAAACTAATATTCTCATTTTTACAGAAGCACAAAAATGAATATTTTCAACTCCTGCATAAATGAGATAGAAAGAAATCAATCAGTCCATATATTTCAAAAAATGTTTGGAAAGGGAAATGTAAGTTATAACCATGGTGAAAATTGAAATGAAAAGTGACTATTTAAAGCCAACTATGCTAAATCACAACCTTATACATATATTTCACTCAAACATTGAAGTTAGCAGATATCGAATCAGAATAAAACAACACCAAATTCCTCATCTTCATTTATTTAAGTATTTGAGAAAAGTTTTAGGCCATTTTAACCACAAGTTATTATCTTTAGATAATAAACAGTTTGATTACATAGAAAAGAGAAGGAAATTTTAAATATCAGAGTATAGTTAAATGCAGTTCTAAATTTAGTACTAGGTAAACACTGTGGCTTTTTATATAAAACTATGTAATCTCAACACCATAAATGAATATATGTGCTTCATAAATAAAGTATTAATATATACCACTGTACATAAGAAAACTATTCACACTAGTAATGTCAGTAATGTTGCCTAACAACATTTAATTCACTTTAAAAAGTATAGTTAAACATAAAGGTTTTATCATTTTAGGAACTCATATTAAAATGTAGATATTTAATAATAAAGAAGGCAATATATACACAAAATTTTCTATATCTACAAGATACTTAGTTTTTCCAATACTCTTAACCATTGTCTTCTAAGAATCAAATGTCTGGGGCCAGTAGGTGGTATCATGTTTAATAAGACTCTGGATCGCATATGGCCAAATCTGTGGGTCGAATCCCAGACCTGGTGACTTGAAAAACATGCCAAACTTGAGCATGAGTGCCAAAAATCTTGATAGGAGAATAGAGGAGAAGGGATGGCAGCATGGCTACCCCCCTTGGGGGGTGATTTTTCAATTTCCCTCTCTCTTTGGTGAGCACAGGCACCCTATGGTAAAAATCTGGAAAAAATAAAAAAGAATCAAATGTCTAAATGATGCAAATTGATTGGGATGGTAATGGGATAGTAGTGAAAGGAGTGATGAAAAGAAAAACAAAAGATAAATGAGGGGTACACACACACACACACACACACACAATAATTTTGCCTAGACTATTCTGATCATTAATTTAAAAGATCCTGTATATTGAAAATCAAAGAAAGAATATTAAAGCACTACTTATATATCTTTAGGCATTTTTGTGGAGAAATAAACATCCATCTATGATATAGTTTCTAGTGGTCCTTTTAGTTGCTTAGAGCAATAACCCACTCCTCATGCCACTTATGTGGTAAATAAAGCTGAGTAACAGTGAAGTAATTATTTTGGGGTACCAGCAGTAATTAGATAGGTAAGCACATACAAACTTGAATGTGGCAACCATTAAAAATGTCAAAACAGTAAGAAAATAAGGTTAGTTATAGTTGTCTTCTGTAAAAATTCAGATATACCATGGTTCAAGTCATTTCTCAAAAAAATGTAGTAAACAGACCCCAAAAGAAACCTGATGCAACATGATAGGACTGTTGTTACTTCAGTCTCCTCAATCAGTCCAAACAATCTACAGTTCATTC